AGGGAAGGAGAGAAGACCAGGAGGAATTGGGCGGGGAAGTCCCACTTACTACCAGAAACCCGCACTGGGGAACTCGGGCATCAACCTTGTTCCATGATAGCGCATCATAGGGACATCGACCCTTGCGACACCCGTCCTGGAAGAACATGCCGGTGATAGAAGCACGAACAAGACATCGAGAATTGACACCCTCAGAACAAAGGCACAAGCACCACACGCACACACAACACACAGACACATGACATGTGCACACACACACGCATGACTGGCGAACCCCGCGCACTCCCCACAGGAGCACTCCGTGATCTGCAGCTCCCAACGCAGAAAGCCCTCGGACCACCCCACCCTCCCCCTAGCCCACCCCCCACCCCCCGAGCAGAGGAGAGAGCGAGGAGGAGAGGCCATGCCTCAGCCCAGCCCCGAACTACCACGTGAATGCGAGGACTTGGGACAAAAGTTGAGATCAGGCCCCGACCGCGCTGCCACGCTATCGCCCCCCGACCGCCAGGAAAGGGGGCCCACTCCCTGAGAGATGGTGCAAGACCATCTCCCGGCGCAGGGGGAGTGGGCTCCACGTCGTCAGCGTGCAAGACCCCCACTCCCCGGGGGGCGGTGCAAGACCACCTCCCGGCGCAATGAAATGACCAGAAGGCGACGACGCCCCAGCGGACAGACCACCCGAGCACATTCCCCGCCGGAGCTGTTTTTCTTCTGTCTCCTGCGTTTACACTGGGCCATAATAGCCCTCTGCGCGCGCTTTGGCGGCGCCTCCCCGCCCGCCCTCCCCCCCGCCCATTCCACCCCCTGTCAGTCGGCGCTCTACTCCGCGGAGGTTAGGGGACAACAACTGCGCGGCACCCCAGAGAGTAACCTTAAGATCAAGAGGCCCAGACCGAGGCGCCTCACCTCGCCTGCCGGTCCCCGGTGATCAGGCGGGATCCAGCCTCACGCTGCCCGTTGCGCGGGGGAAGATTCTAAGAATCCAACCGCCCCCACACACACATGGCAGCGAGCCGTGCCCGCCCGCCCCACTCATAGTAGTCTGGGCCAACGTATAGCGGTGAGGAGCACATGAAGGGTCGTACCTGGGACGTGTTCCACAAAGCGCACCCCCACCGCACCAAGCTTAAGTCACCGTGAGGCGATGGGAGAAGTCCGGGCCGGGGGGAACCCGAACGATCCCCCATCTGTGGGTTGGCTGCCCCCAGGCGCCATGGCAGTTCTGCGCGCGCACTCGACCGAACGACCCCCGGGCACCTGGAGAGCGTTGCCCCTCGGCTCAACCGGGAAGTTTGGGCACTTCGAGCCTATTTCGGCGCCGTACCGCCCAGTCGCTTACCCCGAGACGCATACCGCTCCCGTCCGACTCGGCGGTCTATGGACGTGCCGGTGCGGTTGGCGGTCACACCCGGCACCGCGGCCCCGGGAGCAGGGCGTAGGCCGGTGAGAACTACGGGCGCGCCCCCCGACGCCATAGCTAAGGCTGGACGTGGCATTTGTTTCCGAGGATCCGAAAACGCTGCATGGAGCAGCCCAGACACGAGACCCGAGACCCTGCATGCACCAACCCAGCACGCATGCCACGCCGCGCAAACATGCAAGCACACAAATACACGCCAAGCACATGCAACACTCAAACGCTCGCACGCGCGCACAAAGACACTCTACCCGTCTGTTGTCAATATTCGTAGTTCCGCCGTTGCGTTACTGTTGCGGTGCACCCTGGGTTGTTTAACTACAGTGCTCCTCCCGGGGTTCGCACCTTTTCTTTCCCACCATCTTGTGTTGAGTTGGGTCCTCGCTTTGAAGAAACAGCGCCCCGCGTTCACTCCTCACTCCTCCTCTCTCTCATCCTTCCGCCCCCTCTTTACTTCTGCTCTCGGCATCACTCAACCGTTAATGCACACACCCACACGCTTCGTGGCCCCATAGGGAGCTCCACCGAAGGCCCCAGTGGCAGGGTGCGCATGCGGCCCCCCGCCCACCGCATGTCCATTTCGGGACACCCCGCGCACTCTTCGTGGCCCAATCAGCAGCTCCACCGAAGGCCCCAATGGCAGGGTTCGGGTGCGGCCCCCCGCCCACGGCATCTCCATTCCGGCACACCCCTCACAAATCTCGTGGCCCCATTGGGAGCTCCACCGAAGGCCCCAGTGGCAGGGTTCGCACGCGGGTCCTCGCCCACCGCATGTTTATTCCGGCACACCCCTCACACGTTCCGTGGCCCAAAAGGGAGCTCCACCGAAGCCCCCAGTGGCAAGGTTCGCATGCGGCTCCCCGTCCACCGCATGTCTTTTTCGGCGCTCCCCTCAAGTTTCATGGCCCCGTAGGGAGCTCCACCGAAGCCCCCAGTGGCATGGTTCGCATGCGGCACCCCGCCCACCGCATGTCCAGTTCGGCACACCCCGCTCACGTCTCGTGGCCCCATAGGAAGGGAGCTCCACCGAAGCTCCAGTGGCAGGGTTCGCACGCGGTCCCTCGCCCACCGCATGTCTATTTCGGCACACCCCTCACGTTCCATGGCCCCGTAGGCCCCCAGTCGCAGGGTTCGCATGCGGCTCCCCGCCCACCGCATGTCCATTTCGGCACACCCCACGCACGTCTCGTGGCCCCATAGGGAGCTCCACCGAAGGCCCCAGTGGCAGGGCTCGCACGCGGTTCCTCGCACACAGCATGTCTATTTCGGCACATCCCTCACACGCTGCGTGGCCCCATATGCAGCTCCAGCGAGACCCCAGTGGCAGGGTTCTCATGCGCCCCCCCGCCCACCGCATGTCCATTTCAGCACACCGCGCACACGCTGTGGCCCCTTTAGGGAGCTCCTCCGAAAGTCCCAGTAACAGGGTTCGCTTGCGGCTCCCCGCCCACCACATGTCAAATTTCGGCACACGCCATACCAAGACGGGCCAAGAGGGCCCCAAGCGGCCTCTAAGACAGTCCAAGAGGCCCCGAGACGCCCAAGGACTGGCCCAACACACCCAAGATGGCCTCACAACGGCCCAAGAGGCCTCCAAGACGCCCCAAGAGGCCTCCAAGATGAAAATCATGGGTTTACCTCAGGTGTTTGTAAAATGTTTGGCGTTCTGGCCTTTCCGGCTTTCCGACGGGCCCCGCAAGTCCACTCCAAAACAACCCAAGAGGCCTCCAAGAGGGCCCAACGAAGGCCGAAGAGCGCCCCAAGATGGCCCAAGAGGAGCCCAAGACGGCCCAAGACAGCCGCAAAAGGGGCCCGCGTCCAGTCACCCTCACGAGTAGCGATGTTTGTAAGCTTGGTCCGTCTGTATTTTCCGCGGCCCAAAATAATGGCACCAGCCACCAGCCATAGCTTGAGGTGCTTGCGTTTGTTATCGCGGTGGTGCAGCGCGAAACCTCGGGCCCCCCACCATCCGGGTGCCAAGAGCTACCAGTCGCCCCCCCCCAACGTTCGTGACCTCACGATCCTCCTGTAGGCCATCAGGGCGCTTGTCCCACCGAGCTTTGACACACCTACAGTGTAGGCCCTCTTTACACTACCAAGCAGCTCACGCCCACAGAGTCCCATTCCCATTCACACCACAGTAAGCATCATCAGCATCGGCATCAGCATCAGCACCATCCCCGTCCTTAGCCTTTTCCTCTTCTCTCTCCCCCTCCCCCTCCCCCTCCCCCTCCCCCTACTCCTCCTCCTCCTCCTCCTCCTCCTCCTCCTCCTCCTCCTCCTCCTCCTCCTCCTCCTCCTCCCTCCTCCTCCTCCTCCTCCTCTCCTCCTCCTCCTCCTCCTCCACCTCCACCTCATTCTCCTCCACGTCCTCATCCTCTACCGCCTCCTCCTCCTCCTCCTCCTCCTCCTCCCTCCTCCTCCTCTCCTCCTCCTCCTCCTCCTCCTCCTCCTCCTCCTCCTCCTCCTCCTCCTCCTCCTCCTCCTCCTCTTCCTCTTCCTCCAGCGTCGACGCCACCGCCGTCGTCGCCGTAGCCGAAGCCCTCGTCGTCATCTTCGTGCCGCCGTCTTCGTCGTCGTTGTCGTCGTCGTTGTCGACGCCGCCGCTGTCGTCGTCGTCGTCATCGTCGTCTTCGTCGTCGTCGTCGAAAACGTCGTCGTCGTCGTTGACGTCGTCGTCGTCTTCGTCACTGTCGTCGTCGTCGTCGCAGAAGCCGCCGCCGTCGTCGTCGTCGTCGAAATCGTCGTCGTCGTCGTCATCGTCGTCATCGTCGTTGTCGTCGTCTGGTCCAGTCCTCCAGCGTCATCTGCGTCAGGGTGTCGGAGGCCATCTTGTACGCCGCGTCCCAGTCCAGCGGCGCCGGCAGCCGGGTCGGTGCCGACCCAGCCAGGAGGCACGCGCCGTCGTAGGTTGCGCGGTCGTCCTGCGCTCCACCTCCTGCAGACGGCGACGACGACGACGACGACGACGACGACGACGACGACGACTAGGAGGAAGAGGGGGGGGAGAGGGAAGGAGGTTTTTCCCCACGATGCGCAGCAATCGGAAGCGCAACCCGAAGGCGCAAAGCTCCCCAACCCTCCCTCGGCGAGTGCCGATCGTTTAATGCATACGATGGCACCTGCACTCTGGGCAAAAGATTTCAACAAGCGCGCTGCATGCAACATTGTTACACAATGGCGGGCAGATGCCAGGAGGGGGGCACAAAAAGAGATTCCCGCGCGTAGGTACACTTACTGGGCCTTGCAAACGGCGATCGCACCATTTTCCCTCACGGGCAGAAGTAAACAGAAAGCGAGGAGGGGCAAGGCGGTCGAGAAGAGAGGGGGAGCGGGAGAGGG